TATTTAGTTATATATAAGTCTATAGTTACGTTTTTGTTTAGTTTTGTTTTCTTCTTTTCCTTTTTACGATCACACTTCTGTGTGCTTTGTTGACTTGCATTGAAAAGAAAAACATTGGCAAATCAAATCCTGCTTGTAAATACTGGTCAGTTGTTTGCTTGTGTTCTGCCATTTGTCTCCATCTCTCACTGTTTCTTGGCTTATTCTTGACTTGGAATCTAATGGAAGCAAAATTTTGTGTATTTCTAAAATACACAGACCAAATCCCTGCCATGGGTTTTGTGACACAACCCTGGAAAGCATATGAAATTACAAGGGCGCAAATTAGTTAACTGTCCTCTTTTTAGTCTTTCTTGATCTTAGATGAGGTGAGGAGCACTGCCAACAAAGGATTACACTACTGTGTTGATTGTTTTCTGTGTTGATGTATTTTCCTACTTGTTTTTAATAAGCAAAACTTGAACTGTGCCTATCTGTTACTCTCCAAGATCTTTTGTAGTCAGTTTTATCAGAATTCAGAAGAGGGCTAGAAGCCTTAAATATACAAAACCTACTGGTCTTGTGCAAAGCAGTGGTGGCTGCATAGGTGGGACCTAAATTAGTGGCCTCGTTTTGGGGTGTAGACTGGTCACCGAACAGGTTGTGCTCCCTCTCAGCTTGGCCCGGTCCGTCTCTGCATGCTGATGAGCAAGGAAGCAGGCACAGAGCTGCTCTTTTCATATCTTGCACATCCTACATTTGTACTGTGGTATCTAGGTGATTTTGCTTCCTAAAAGCCATAGCAGTATGTTAGGACAAGTTTCCTTACTTCCTTAAAGGTGTTCCTAGAGACCTTTATAGACCATATATTGTTTCTTTAAATATTTGTTTGTATCTTCTTATAGTTCATGTATTTGTACTCAGTCGTGCAATGGAAACTTGATCTGATGCTTATTAAGAAAGAACTGCTGCTTTCTTTAGAAGAAAAGCTTTTCTTTTGAAACACCCAACAAACACAATACTAAAAAAAAAAAATGCAACACCATTTATTTTCATAAAATATGGAGCTAGTTTTCAAAACTTTCTTCTTTACTGTGCAGTTATTCTGTACAATAGTGTCTTGTATGTTTTAAAGCTAAAATTTTGAACAAATTTTCAAATGTATATTTATTTATTTTTTTTGTGCAGCCACTTTTCCATTAAAACTTATTTCTTGTAGTTAATAGATTTTTAATTCTGGAACTGAATATGCTGTGTGCCCACTCTCAGGGATTTTTTTTTTAATCAAAAACTCTGCTCATGAGAGCACACAAGGTTGTAGATGTCAAGGTCAGAATTATAACCTGCTTAAAAGCAGGCTGGTGCAGTGCAGTACTGAACAGCCTGAGTGCTTTTACAGAAGGCCTGTTTCATGTATAAAGAGTTTAAAGTCACACCAGCCTAATCACACTGTGACTTTTTTTTTTTTTTTACTTTTACTAAGTTTGCAGCAGGTACTTTCATTTCCATTAAGAATATTTATTGCTTTACTATAAGTTTGTATTTGAATCCTGAGTTCCTTACTGTTTGTGAACTCTGCATGTTAAATTTAAAAATTTTAACACTTTATTTTTCCCCCATCTAAAGTTAGATTAATTAAAAAAAAACCCCACATATGCATGTAAATGAATGTAAGTATACTTAAAGTTTATTAGTTTTGCACTAAATTTTCATGAAGTGTCACTTTAAAGGAGATTTCTAGGAAAAAAAGGTGAAAGATTAATTTTCTTTCTAAATTTGTACTACTTTTCTCAGGATTGTTTTTTCTGTGTTCTTCATTCTCATTTGCTGCTTCAGGTTTTATCATAAAATGGTTCTGAATAATCACGCTTGTGTCATTTTTTTACCACTTTTTTTGTTGACTGCGTGTCTGGTTCAAGTTTCATGGAAATACTGTCTTTCAGGCTTCTAATAGGAGATGGTGATATACTAGGCAAGGTTTGATGATCAATCAGTATTTTGATATTAATGCTAATTTTTTTGGACAAGAAAAAATGTTGGGAAAAAAATCATACTCTTAAATTGGTTGTTTAGAACAACTCATCCCTAAACTTGCAGTTTTGCATCAGCTCTGTTGTGCCACTTGTCTTGTGCCTTTTAGTTGATCAAGTCAAAGTCCAAATTAGGGCCAGCTTCAGTTCGAAGACTCAAGCACACTTTGCTCAATGCCTGGTTTCTCTCAATTACACTCACTTGATAATAGGACCATCTCAAATCTAAGGTAATTCTTATTTTCACAGAAGTGAAACAATGTTAAAAGATGAAGGATTTTCCTCCTGTTGGCTTGCTTCCTGTCATGGTTTTAGGCTGAT